GTTTCCTTCTGGTCATCATTTATTTTACACACTTTTGTAGGAGGAGCCATACTGTATTCACAACACAGAGGTCGTCGTCATCATCATCATCATCTGTGTCACTTAAAATATCTAAGTTGCATATTTTATGGTGATCTTGAATACTATTCATAGCAACAGTTTGTGCACAGTAAATGCACTTTATTTTCACTCCTGAGGATTGCTGTTGACAGAATATAACTACAGTTTCAGCCAATTTCATAAACTAGTCAGCTAACTTGGATTGAATGTAACTATTTACAACTCATGCAACTATGCATGGCTCAGACATGTAGTAATGCAGACGTATGACCAGACAGGCCCAGTAGTGGCAATTTTATAATTTTTTCTCTCTTAGTCTTAAATCAAGGTTTGACACAAATTACCACGACTTATTTATTCTGAGGCGTATTCATTGCATATAATTATTCATGATATCCAGTGACGTTATCATTATGGAACACAGAAGTGGAACACTTCATTCAAATGAGGAAAGTAGGCGTGCATTTGTGCAAAAGATGCTTTTCTTATTGGTTGACAAGTCATGCTACTCATTAGCATATTTATCATCACGAAAATGTGGTGATGACTATAGAGGGCGTGGCAGAACAGACAAGTCATAATTTTGAGTCAATGCAGAAGATTCTACAAACATTTTTTTTATAAAGGAAGTGGAACACTGCATACATTCTATGCATCATTAGAGCAGTGTATAGTGAGTTGAACACCATATATTCTATGCATCATAAGAGCAGTGTATTGTGAGTTGAACACCGTACATTCTATGCATCATTAGAGCAGTGTATAGTGAGTTGAACACCATACATTCTATGCATCATTAGAGCAGTGTATAGTGAGTAGAACACCATACATTCTATGCATCATTAGAGCAGTGTATAGTGAGTAGAACACCATACATTATATGCATCATTAGAGCAGTGTATAGTGAGTTGAACACCATACATTCTATGCATCATTAGAGCAGTGTATAGTGAGTAGAACACCATACATTATATGCATCATTAGAGCAGTATATAGTGAGTAGAACACCATACATTCTATGCATCATTAGAGCAGTGTATAGTGAGTAGAACACCATACATTATATGCATCATTAGAGCAGTGTATAGTGAGTTGAACACCATACATTCTATGCATCATTAGAGCAGTGTATAGTGAGTTGAACACCATACATTATATGCATCATTAGAGCAGTGTATAGTGAGTTGAACACCATACATTCTATGCATCATTAGAGCAGTGTATAGTGAGTTGAACACCATACATTATATGCATCATTAGAGCAGTGTATAGTGAGTAGAACACCATACATTCTATGCATCATTAGAGCAGTGTATAGTGAGTTGAACACCATACATTCTATGCATCATTAGAGCAGTGTATAGTGAGTTGAACACCATACATTATATGCATCATTAGAGCAGTGTATAGTATAGTGAGTAGATTCTAGGCATTATGGGTGTAACCCTTTTTTCAACAAATCTTCCCGCCATCTCCTATAATTTCAAATGGTCAACCCCAAGACACAATGATAACTACATGTTGCACTCACCTTGACTTCAGAGGTCTTGTCTTTGCAAGTGTCGAAAGGTAGATCTCTCTGTAAAGGCTTTATATAACATACGGCCGATCCAAGAACGGACTCTTCTTTGAGATACTTGACAGTGTAACCTTCATTTGGAAGGTAAATTTGCACCAAATCTTTAGAATTCCTGCCACCACACCGCCATAGAGTAAATCCTCCACCGTCCTTAAGTTTGGGAAATTCTTTTTCAATAACTGATACAAGGTAATCGTAGTCGCCGTCTTACGTTTGAAAGTTATCTTTTTTCACCCATGCCGCTTCTAGTAATAGCTGCTTTTCTTTTATAGTTGGCGTCGATTCGTTTTCAACCCCGCTCAATAGACAGAATCGATGCGTCCACGTATTTACATGCGCGAAGTTCATAAAAGGGGATAAACCAGTTGGTTTTCTCTTGCCATTAATTTGACCACGTTTTCCTCTACCCTTCGCACGTTGTTCCCTCTGCTTCACTAAAGACGGGAAGAGGTCCACAACAAACTCTTGTGCAGCGTGGCCAGCATGGCCGACGCAATTCGGCTCGCGGTTGAACGATGATTTTGTTAAATGACTTGAAATCGAATTAGACTTCTCATCGAACTTACGTGAGGATCGTTCCTCGTCTTCAAGTAGTTTGACTACGCTGCCAGCAGCTTTTTGTAGTACTTCTGTGGCTTTCAGTAGCACGTTCGAAGGATTGTCAGCCGCCATGATCAAGTTTGGTTTCCATCGCGTATTTGCATATATGTGCATGAGGGCGCCACCAACTTTTCATGTTCAAATTCGTTATGTTCAAATTCGCTATGTTCAAATCCGCTACGTTCAAACTAGCGATGTTAAAATATAAATTAAAATTGCCGTTTTAACGTAATTAATGTTCATAAGTTTCTCATAATTTTAAATTTAAATTCTCATATTTTACCATTCATTCCTCATATTTTTAATTTAATTCCTCATTATTTAAATTTAAGTTCTCATATTTTAACATTCATGTCTCATATTTTGAGTTTAATTTTTCAGATTTTAAATTTAATTTCTCATATTTTAACATTCATTTCTCATATTTTAAATTAA